ATCTGAGGTGAAAGCATTGCCAAATCAATATGAAACTCACTTTTGCAGAAGGTAGAAGTCTAGCTGTGACAACCCCTCAATACAAGATACATATATTCAAATATATGCTGTCTGTCTATTGCTGTCAGCCGAAGTCAGTCTGCTACCTATGACTCTCTACTACTACTTTTCAAGCATTTCATTGTACTTTCACCTCTACACAGTCCTGCTAATTCAGTTACATAATAGCAGTCCTGTTTACTCATCTACATCACCACAGCAACCCTCTGCATCTGCTCTTCTTCATTTATCTTGACCAAGCTCCAGTTGTGGCTGCGATATAAATTTTTTTGGGGGCGGCTGCCTTGGACAAAATGAGAAATATATATTAAAAATATATGAGTATTATATATACGCTACATAGTTTTATAACGAATGTCAGAAACAAACATTTTGGTCACTATTGGCTGAATTATATCTTGAATGAATATAAATAATTTGTTTTATATTTCATCAGGCCCCTGTCCTAAGCTTGCACTGTGTTTGTCACAATCACGCACAGCCAGATGCAAAGTTTATGCAGCAGCACAACCAGATCCACCACTCACAACCAGCCTCAACAATGTCTGCAAAACTACAATGAGAGGGAACAGTCACAACATGAACATATGACATCAGCACCGCTGCTACAACACACACGGCACAACACCAGAGCAGCTCATTCACGCATTATTTGCCTGTGAGGCTGAGATTTGCACCAAAACTGATGAAAACAAGCATCTTACCTTCTCCAGAGGACTAAAGCAGAGTATCTATCTATCTGCTGTCCTGTTGGCTCTGTCTCCAAAAGTGTATTATTGTCCAATATGAAGAGATAAAACTGGTCCAAGTCCCGGTCTGGACCACCAGCTGGTCGTAAACTAGTCTTAATCCTACTTCCCACTTACAGTAAATCTGAGTTATGACCAGTCCATATTAGGACTAAAGCACCGGGTAGATTTAAGACCTTCGCATGCTATGCCCAGGTGAAACTTTTCCGCCCAGAAACATGCGGGCAGCAGCTGATAGAACAGCAAGCAAGTGCCCTGGCCCCAGTGGTGGCACTGAGTTGGTCTTGGAGGTGGCAGAGAGTGCCATTATGTTATGCCGTTTTCTCATCACAGATATAGCTGGATATGGTTTTGTTTAACACACAAATCCTGCATATTTAGGCTGTACTCTTCTTTCAAACATTAAACTCTTTGTTCCACCTTGTGATGTCATGTGGTAATATGGAAAGTGCTCCACTGTGTTTTTAAACTCCATACTTTCACTAGAACCATTTGGACCATTTCAACCCAGGCTGAGGTACCAAACGATGTTGTTACCAAATGATGTTGTTACCAAGTAATGAGGTAACAACATTATAACATGGCTTACAGCTCACAAGAGTCAATTTACCTTTACACTTACATTTCAGTAGCTTACAGCCTGGTCTCCTTGAGAAATAAGAGGGGATAAAACAAACCAGTGTAGTAAGTGAATGCAAATTGTGGGATTTGTAGTTCTTTCAGGTCCAGCCAACGCTTGAGGTGCAGCTTTATGTTTCACTGTTATGATCCACAGTGGTACAGTTAAGTGTTTGTAGTCCTCCCAGCTCACCTGAAAAGCGGCCACTGCACTGTCACTATGCCCATTGGACACAACCAGGGATTACTCTACATTACATGGGCCCAATGATTCACAAAGAGCACCGTAATAGCCTTAACAAGAGCTCTCTGGCCGTGTGTGGATGTGTTTGGGTATACATAGTGACTCACGGCTATTTTGCATCTAAAGCAAAAAGAAGAAAGAAAGAGGAGAATAATTTGGCTTGCACTTGTGAGCGATGAAAGACTATCATCAAGGCATGAAAAGACTTATTATTAAGAATGAATGGGAGATATGGCATTCAAGGCAAAGATTAATGGACAGCTTAATGACTGCATAGAAATTACCAACTGTTCGGCACCTTTACAGAGCAAGCGCTAATATAGCGTGGCTGCAGGAGAAATGGAATAGACTTCAAATAAACAAAGGATTAAATACAAGGGGGGAAAAGTCCATTAAAACGAGGTTAGTGAACACAGGTGAATTCACATCAGAATTGCAATGTGAGATAATTACAGCTAAGTTGGATCTGCAAGTCATGCTGCTAGGAAGTTATAGCATAGGAGGTATATCTCTATATAAGAAGTATTGGAGTGAATGAATGATCATGTGTAAGGGAATGGCTATACAGCTCTCACAGTTCTCCTCTTTGTGTTTAAAGATAGACTCACTCACACTTTCCAGTCATTTCTATTGATATTTGCTGCCAATGTCATCAATATTCCCTGGGGTGTGAAGCTAACTGAAAGCACTACTCTGTTAGAAGCTCTGTTACTCAAGTTAGACTTAATCTGAGCTTTATTTTAACACAGTCTGAGAAAGAGCTGACTTGGTTGGAAGACTGTGGTGATTTGTGCTTTTAAATAAGTCTCACACACATTAGCTTGCATTAGTCAACAGTTCTTTTGTTAGTCTTACCTTTTTGTTAAAAATCAAACATTTACACGGGACCATGAACACTTGTATTGATCACAAACTCCTGAAAATGTGTTGTTCAAATCCATTTTGTATAATTCTTGACTTTTCAGAACATATATTTTTTGTCAGTGTCAGCTAATGTGTGCGTCGTGTTGTCATGATGACTGCTGAACATTCCGCCAGTAGATGCATGTAGAACACCCCCAGTGTTGTCATTGCAAAGTATTAATATCTGAATGTACATGATTTTGAACAGCACCAGTTCCTTTTTGTGAGGAGAAAGTAAATGACCAATTAAGTACCAAGAGTTGGAAAGAATAAGAAGATTTTTTTTTTTTTAAATCAATTTTTATATCAAGCGCAGTAGCCCCTTTTTAGAACAAATGTAGCAATGGTCATGAAGTAGTCCTAATTTGGGCCTGGTTTAGCTCTAGTTTTGACCTGAAATAGTGCTGTTTTAGACCTGGTTTAGATGTGGTTGTACTGGGAGGACTTTGAACTTGAGTTAATTGTTTAGTTAAGTGGATGATTGCACACAATTTTGGAATTGGCTTAGCCCTAGTTTAGACCTGGAATAGTGCTATTTTAGATCATAGTCATGGGGTAGTCCTATTTTGGGACCAGGTTTAGCCCTAGTTTAAATCTGGAATAGTACTGTTTTAGACCTGGTTTAGATGTGGTGGTACTGGGAGAGCAACCATTTTCTTCTAGGTGGTACTTTGAAGCTGAGAATCACTGTTTAGTTACGTACAAATAAGCGAATGATTGCAAAAATAGACTCTAATTTAAAGTTCTGCTACATTAAGTCTACAGCCAGTGTTCTTTTCACACATATACACTTACGCATACTGTCTGTACATCTATGGTAGTTTTCCCCTCGTTTCTCACTGCTCTTGTGATGACCCCCTGCATTACCACTGCTATATTTCCAGCGCGGCGCTCTGTCCACGAGGCGTAATGGGCCATAGTGGTGCATTAGAGAACACATCGCCAATGACCAGCGATGACCCACAAGAGTCTACGGGCGTCCATTTTGGAGTATTGTATCATGTTATCCAGTGTTAGCCCATTCCACTCAATTGGCTACGAGTGATGAGTGCTACCGCCGCTAACAATGAAAGCGAGAAAGACCACGAAAGAAAGTACAGAACAGGCATCGTCAAATGTGGCTAGATCTTTGTGCTAAACGACCTTGGATTTTTCGAAGTCAATTTCACCCAAGACATAATGCTGGGTGATTATCTGACTGCAAGGGACTCCATTGGACTGCAAACAATTCAATGGCATCTGAGTACTTGGAGGTAGGCAGACAGTGCACCATTGATCAGTATTGAATTGTTCTTTTCGACTAAGTTTCAGCGCATTTCATTAGACTTTAGCAGATCAATGCCAGCGCAAGATGAATGGTGGGGACGATGAAACTTGACGCAGGAGTTACTGTATCCAAAAACAGCACAAGTGGAGAAAGTAAGTTTGATTCCTAACAGAAAAGCTTCACATTTGTTGAGAGGGGATCAAATGAAAATGACTGTGAAAAATGTGAGCCCTTTTGCGATGGTAACCTAATATGGCGTTCTTGCTGCACCGTGTTTTATCGATGTTTGTGTCAATATGCTTTGCCAGAGGAAATTACAAACTGCCAGGGACAAAGTGAATTCATTATGGTGTACATATTTTTTCCTTCGTTGCTGTGTTTCTGGAGACATCCCAACATCATATAGACTAGTCGAGCGCTTAACTGGGAAGTTCCTTGATATTCAGTTGTTAAATGTTAAAAGTCCTATAATATGCAAAACTGGCTCTTTATGTTGTGTTATAATGTTGTTACCTCCTCAAAAACATACCTGGAGTTGTGTTTTGTTTCTTTCAGACATATCTGAATAACCCTTTATTATTAGTCTGTCTGCATCTTCATTGCTCAAGATGCTTTGTTCCTTTGTTGTTTCATTGTGTTTTCAAAATGAAATTATCCAAATAATTCAACTAAAGGTGTATGGAGTTAAAAAAAAAAAATCTGTTTGAGCAAAAGTTGCTATAAACATAACGATACATGATTCTAAAAACAACAAAGTATCGCAGAATTAAATCACAATTCAGTTTTATCATATCACCAGCCATTGTTTATTTTACAAATGAGCTTTGTGACTACTTTCAGAACTGTGAGCAGTGGCTACACTTAGCATATATGCAGTATCAGTAAACTTTTGAGACACTGGTTACCACTTTTAAGTGGTAAATATCAGAGAGAACTACTTGGCTATTTATATTTGGGGACATAATGAGAACATGAAGAATGTAGCAACTGACTCCATATGACTGAGAGAGGGACATCATCACGTTGTATTATTTGCTGTATCTACTGGCAACCAATTAACCTTTATATATCGCCTAGCAACAGCATCCCATTAAGCCAGCTATATTTAATATGTTTAATCACAATGAATTTCTACATATACTGTGTCTGTATGATTCACCTGAGTGTGGGATGACAGGGTGCTCGATCCTGTAACATGGTGACTCGGGCAGCAGCACTGGTCCTCTCCGGGCCTCCACACCCCACCGCAGGACCAGCATGCACTGCAGCAGGAGCAGTGCATGCTGGGTAACCGGACGTCCCATGAGGCCCCGGGGCGTGGCTCACTCCTCCTTAGGCCTCAGGGACCAACAACATTGGAGAGACACACCTGGGACAAAGAGACAGGAGTCAGCTTTATATTTCAGACAGCAGACCGTTTTAAAGTCTTATTTGCTCTGTGGGTGTGCGCAGACATAATAATCAACCTACTGCACCATCGTAATTACAGTACTACTTTACTTTAAATGAAAATATTGAGTAAAACTTCAACCCTAAACATATCATCAAGTGGTGGGAACCTTGCACTTTCTTTTGCCAGTATTCTGGTTTATTTGAACAGATTACACCAGATGCCCTAACAGAACTAACCCCTTCCAATTCAGCCTGGCACAGGGAGAACACGTAGTGAAAAGCAACAAATAAAATGTATTATGATTCTTTCCCTCATATAGTGAACACGATTTTCAATTTGATTTTATTTTGTCTTTTTAAAATAAATGGTAACACTTTAGTTTAGGGAGAGCATATTAATAGATAGGTAATAGTAAAATGCACAATAAGTACTTAATTACACCTTTGTTAGTGTTTATAAAGTACTTTCATTAAATTTTTGTCTAAGGCTATATAAATATTATGCCAGTTAAGGCTTAGTTAGCGATTAATGTGTGGTCCCTAAACTAAAGTGTAACAAAAAAAAACAAAACAAAAAAAACCCATCAAGCTTCATCTTAAAGGCTCCTTAGTTTCCCTATTTTCTGATCTGTTGTGGTTGTTTCCTTGTCAAAAATATACACAAGTCCTGTACACTTAAGGCTGTTCTGGGTAGGTTTTTGATAACGTAGGAAGATTATAACATGGCTAAAAGCTCACAAGAATCAATTTGTGTAATATAGGACCTTTGAGTCTGAGCTCCAAACCATATACTTGTACGTACACATTAATATATTTTAGGGTTTCAGTAAGATAAGTGATGAATTCTCTAAACCGGTGTAGAATCTCTGCATTATAAAGAAGGGTCAAAATGGGTCAACAGTCTAACTAAAGTTTCATGTGCGCATCTCTAGACAAATGAGGTCATGAAGAGTTTAAGTGAAAAGTGTTGCCTCACTCGCTAAACACATGCACCCACTTTGCATCACAGCAATCAGAACAGATTCAGCTCAGGACACGAGACAGGCAAAAAATAATCCTGTGAAGAGGAGAGGAGAAAGAGGAGAGAAGAAGAGGGGAGGAAGGAGGAGAGGAGGGTGAGTGATGCATCCAGAGCTCTAACCCTTGACATGGGCATGAGCCAGGTCTGTCCTACACTTTTTCCACCTTCCTCTATGGGAGCTTTTGTTCTTTTATCTGGGCAGAAGTCAGATTTTTAACAAAGACCAAGAACAAAGAAAGGCGTATCAGCGTACAAAAATCAAGGGAATGAAAAAAGACTGAGTTCGCAATGGGAAATAACTCAAATCTGAAGTAAAACCTGAAAATGCTCTATATACTGAGATAAATGCTTTTTTTCGTTGAGGGACAAGAAAACTAGTTTAAAGTCGTAAGTTGTAAGTACTTTAAAGATGCACTACATCACTTTTCAACAGGGTTTTGCTTGTTGCTTGTCTCCATGGAGATACTAGGATTTTAAACTGACCAATCTGTAAAAAAAATATCAGTAAAATGTGTTTTTATTTATTGCTAAAACACATTTAGATCATCGTTCTTACTGTGAGTATGCTTGTATCTCCACAGATCTGACCTGTAACTTGACTTGAAGATGTTTCCATGAACTTGGCAGATACTGTGGAACATTCCAGACAAAAACATCTCCATAGAGAAAAGTTATAGTGCACCTTTTAGTAATAACTTTTCTTTTAACAACACACTTTGAAGGTGCAAAGTTGTTTTTATGTCTCCCTTTAAACTCTCTCTCTGTGCTTCTTGCCACATCTATCCCACGAATATTTCACTTTAATTGTGTTGTAAATTTGTCTTATACATTTGACAAACTTTTCTCACAAGTGAAGTGAACCCAGAAGCCACTGTAAATATGCTGTGTTTTTCTTCTCAAGCTAACCATGAAATTGCTGAATGTGATTATAGCTCGGGATCTAAGAAAAGTCACACACTTCGCCGCCAGCGTTAGAATTTCCCTTTTGTGCTTCTGAATTGATGCGCAGTCTAGACCTTTTACATCAGGGCTGCTTAATCATTTATAGGACACTGTTAAAAGATGATTCGTGCAGAGAAGACTCACTGACACAGCGGAGGTACAAGGATCATAATACGGACACACTTTCAGGTGTTTTATAATTCAAAGTGATCCATATCGAAGTCATTTATTTCAGATCCCATAAAATAATCATATATTCAGCCTGATGTTCAATTAGAGATGAAAATTCAAACTTTTCTATGAGGAGATGTTTCACAGTATGACACTAAACCTTTCTATCATCATGGAGACCAAACCAGGCCAAGTTACAGGTCAGATCTGTGGGGAGGCAACCCCGCTCACAGTCATAATGTCTGTTTTTGTAGATGTTGAGCTATAAAACCAGCTGTAATTGAGGAAATGTAAGGTCGATCTGTCATACTGTGGGACATTTCAAGCAGAGCAATGACATTTCTATAGAAACAAAAAAGTTACATAATCCACCATTAACTTGGGTATTCCTGGAAATACTGATCTGAGTGGGGGTATACCTTTGACATTCGCTTTATTGGAAATCATTGTTTTATACTTATTGTAGATTTCCTGTTATTTCTTTGTTGAAAATAATAGAAGCCCTGCAATAATATAGGCTCATTTCAATCATTGCCGTCTACTCGGTGAGACAAACTAATTAAGGATAAAATAGGACCTCCAAGGCAGAATGGAATAATGTATGACTAAAATTATTAACTTCTCTGCCAATGAAAACTAAATTAAACACATGCATCGACTTTTTTCACCTTTTCACAACATTTTTAATCAGTTTTCTCATTAAAAAAACGTGTTGTGTTCAGTTCAAATAAGTTTTTAAGCAAAAAGTTGAAGAACAAAAGAATCATAATAGAAGCTAATTATTAAAATACTGTTTTTGTACTAAGGCCAACCTGCTTTTCTCCATAGAGAGGCTTATTGCTTTGCCTAGAATATTCCACAGTGTGGTATTAAACTTACATGTCAAAGTATTTTACCAGCATTACAAACTAAATAAATACACTCTCACCAGAAAAGTTACATAGGCTACTTTCAGACTACAGGGCTTGATGCTCAATTTGGATTTTTTTGTGAAATCAGATTTTTTTGCGAGGTCGTTCACATTTCCATATTAATGCAACTTGTATGTGATCTCCAGTGTGAACTTCAAATGCCCCAAAAGTGTCCCACACGCACATTGGAGGGCACAACGATGTCACACAGAGCGTGCTCAGTGTTTATGGAAGTAGCCTTAACTCTGGGATTGTCTCCCAAAATATGGTCCAGTTCTTCGTAAAATGGACAGGTTACACATCCATGTCTGCTTCGTTTGTTTGAGACTTTAGCTTCCTTGTGTTTGGCTCACAGGCTCGTCATTTTTCATTGACATTGAAGCCAGGATCGCCTGTAGCCGCGCTCGGCCATTTCTTTGGCAATCATTTCAAAAATGGTCCAGTTCCCTCCAAGACCCCTCCAATTTGGCCTGAATACAGCAATCCCCCCAAGTATTAATTAACTCACTAATCTCACTTTCCCTCCATTGACTAGACTCCGAGCCTGATGTGTAGGTGGGATGAATGTGACTTGGCCGTTCAAACTGAAGTCACATATCAAGAGATCGAATATGTATCGGTTTTAGGAGCACATAACCAAGAGGCCTGGGTTGCATCAAAAAAAAAAAAAAAAAAATCTCATCTGTGTCAGTCAGACTGCCTTTAAAAGATCAGATACAGGTCGGATTTGAGGCACTTCAGGCTGCAGTCTGAACGTAGCCATAGTGAACCTTTAAAGTACACAGTTGTTAGGACACAGCATAAAATTTAACAAAAAAAAATTCTATAAGGTAGGGTCTATACCTTATGGAGGAGCCTATGTGAGGCTTCTATTGAAACAACAAGCTTCGTTGTGTGGCTGTCACTTTTATTGTTTTTCTCTTGAATGTAAACTTTCCCTTTGCCATAGCGACGGAGGAATAACCCTGGCGACCTTGGGGCCTGCAGCGTTCACTCAAACAGTGACTATAAATAAATGCATATAGAGGTTTGGGCCTGTAGCGTCCTTAAACCGCAGTATAATGTAAAACACCTGTCATCCCGGTGCGGAGGCTGGGGCACATTGTTGCATTGTGTTTGCTCTCACATTCAGACGTCACATTTGGAGCTCTTTGGCAGTCTCTCTTTAGTCAACCTGTCGCTGTAAGTGTCACTTTGCTTTGTCTGCTGCTTTCCTGACAGTCACCACCGCTTTGCCTCACTTTGCCAAACAAGCTGTTCCTCCTGTTACAGCGAACAGTGGAAAATATCAAGAGCCTTGAGAAGACGTCATAGCTAATTAGAATCTGACAAGTCTGTGGATAATAAGGGCTACAGAGGATGTGTTAGGGATATAATAGTTTGACTTATGGAGCTATAGCATAAATTCACTCTGGAAGACTTAACTTCACTCCTGTCCGCCTCACTGCTTCTCCTCACCCTTCATCCCACACTTCAAATACCCCTCCCCACTGTTCAACGCACCTCCTCCTCGTCCAATCAGTGCCTAGTCTGCCCAATTAAAACCTCCATTGCAGATGCACGGCTGCTTTGGTTTGTGAAACGTGCCACCTCCTTCACTCCTCGGCTTCTCATCATCTCCTCGTCCCTTTCACTCGCCTCATCCTCTCATCGTCCCCTTCACTCTCCTCGGCCACCTTTACCACCTCCAGCATTCAGGCCTTGGGGGGAAGACATCTCGTAAACATCATCTAACTGGCCATGCCCTTCATTTCATCGCACTGTCTTCTGCTGGGGTCTGAGCACCAAAGAGAACACATTCAATAAAACTACTTTTTCTTTGTGTCTGTCTGAGTTTCTCCAGGTTGAAATAAGGGATATGACAAAA